ATGTTTTTTTTTTAATTTATTGTATTAATATAAAATATTTAATTGAAATCATTTTGTCATTTCATTGCTTTAATTATACTCAATTGTTCTTGAAAACAAAACAGATTCACTATTCTTTGAACTTCACTCTGTTAAAATTATTGTTATAGTTTAAACAATTAATGCATTATTTCAATAATGAAATATAAAAAACTATTTACGTCATTTATTTCACATGAGAAAAAATTAATTTCAATATTGTTTTGCAATGTAAAAATAATTAGTATAATTATTTTTTCGCGGTATTATTTTTTATTACTTGTTTATATTTTGTAATTATAATCCTGTTAATCCTAATTTAAGAGCTCATGTTGTTATGGGGCTTTAATTTTTTTATGACTTTTTGCTGCGCTACATATTGTGGTAGTCTACTAAATACTGTATAAAGTTGAAAAATAACTCAAAATTAAAGATTTTATTATAGTTTTTATGTGAAATGAATTAATTAATTTTTTTTATTAGTTTTCAATAGTTGAAAATTTAGTTATGAGTACATTGTATGGTTTTTTTTGTTTCGTCTCCAAATATTCAAACAGAATGTGTTTGATGTGTCGATATCCGTTTTATAGAAGCGATAGGTATAATAGAACCTTAATTTCAATATAGTAGCTCAACCTGGAATATACATTCAGAAACTCACAACAAAAAACAATATTTTTTTTTTACTAAACACTTACTGTCTTTAATTGTAGCATTATGTGATATAACTGAAATATTATCTATAGAATGTTAGTCCTGTATATCTGGTTTTGTGGTATTAATTACACAAATCAAGCCACTAACTTTAGTGTAGCACAATATTTTTTTCTTCGGAGTTGTGTCAATATATTTTGTTTCTGATATAAAATTCATAATTAATGAATTTATGTTTTAATAAATATTTTGAAATTTTTTGTTATTATTATATTTCTATTTTTAATAATGACGGTCAATTTTTTTCGTCCTTTAATGACCGCCATTCTATTAATTAATAAAATGCATGTCAAAATAAATTTTTAAATTGTGGGAAATGCATGGAACACTAGTAATTATTTTTGCTGCATGGCATTATGACAGTTCAGCATTTTTTTTTTATTTCACATAATTACAGATATATATATATATATATATTTACTTATATTCTTTGCTAATTTTTACACCTTAGTACATGAATGTTTTATTTTTTCTTGCTTGTTGTGTGTAAATATCTCATATTTATACTTCATAAAAATATTTTTTTAAAAAATTTAAATATATTTTATATTTTGTTTGGTCTCATGAGGTTGAGCTGTGGACCACAACAGTGCAGCAGTTGCAAACGCTTTACTTGCAAAATTTTAATTATTAATTAAATATCCGGTTCAAAATTATCAGAGCGCTTAAATTTATGCAACGTCATTTTTTGTCTCCTTTTTGTTTCCGTTCCGTTGCTATATTAATTGTTATTTTTTGTGCTACTTCTGGCTCGAAGGAATAAAGAAAAAATATGTTTTAAAATGTATTAAAATGTATGACATACTTTTAATGATAGATAATGGAAAGAGACCTGAAATACATAAAAACTACAATGTTTAATATAGTTTATTAATATTTTTTCAATAATTTTTATGTAATATTTTTTTTTATATTAAAGTTTTTATTACATATTTTACATGTCTATGTTATTTTAATATTAATAGTTCATATTTATAAGGATATTGTATTAAAGTTTAAAGTTAAATCAAACGAAACAGTTCTAGTTAGTTAGTTCTTTATAAGGTATTTTAACTGTAATAGACGCTATATTATATTCAATTATTTATTGAAGTACAACTATGATCTATAATGTTGCCAATCGGAAATTAAGTTTAAAAATTTATGGAAATAAAGATTAAAAATGAGCTCTATTAATTAATCCTTTCTACATTACAGTACATTCCTCACGTATTGTGTTAACTTTGTCTTTTCTTATTGATTGCATCGCTATAAACTCATCTTCATAAATAACAGGATCTTCATAAAAAAAAAACAAACATATTCTGAATTCTCCTTTGTAATGCTGGACCTCTACTAAGTGACGAATGTTTTCCGTTTTATTAAATTGAGTTTACTTAATTAAAAATATATTTTTTGAATTTGAAAACCACCTCTCTATTACCACGCCTCTATTTAAAATAGATTTCGTGTCTTAGAATATACAGATCTTTATCAAAATGAATCATAGTTAAAATTATGTGATTTTAAGTTTATAGCTAAGTTTTAACTCGATTATGCTTTTCTTGAATCCTACAAAGAACAAAACAAAAAAACCCACATATATATATACTTACCTGTATTTTACTATAGATTTATATGTGTAGCTGTCCATATTCTCGATAATCGCAGTAAACTAGATTATAATTTAAAATATTGACAACACAAAACTTGTAAAAATTTAGTAAGAAAATTATTATTCGAAGAAGAAGTTTTCAGTTTTCTGATTAAAATATATGTTTTCCGCTATATATGTATATATATTAATTTTTTAAGATATATTATAAATAAAGTTTATTTTAAAATAACATGAACTTCGATAAAAAAAAGTGCAAAAATATTTACATGACTTTAAAATTGTATGCGATATAATTTTAACCCTTCCTTGCCAGAAACTGGTATCTCTCGATCTTATAAAAAAATGCAGGTCACTTAGACTCTATGTATAGAGTCGATACCATTGCTTCCATGATTTTAGTAAATATTTTTTACTTTGAAGGCAATTTTAATGCTTCCTTGCCAGAAATTGATACCACTCCATCTCATAAAAAGATGCAGGTCACTTAGACTCCTAGTGTAGACCAATTGTGGTACCAATACTGCCATGATTTTAGTAAATATTTTTTCACTTGAAGGCAATTGTTTCTTTAATTAATATTGACGTATGATTTTTTATTTAATATTCAGTGAA